AGTTCCATATTAAAAGCACCAATGGGATCCGTATTTCACGCATCGCCACCTTGAATTAACTTATGTCTGTCAAGACCAAATTTTAAAAAACGTGAACATCACACAGATTAATATGTACCCCTAAGTCTCTGGAACGGAATACATGCACTAGTGAACCTACAACTATACGATTTATATTTTAGAAATAATTAAATTCACTTACGAATTTCGAATTTCGAAAAACACAAATATGCTGATTCACTACGGACAACTGTTTAACTGAAGTGAAACGGGTTTTCCCCTTGCTGTGAGTGTCTGCTTAGTGTAGTTCAGCCACAATCCGCTACAGTTCGCCTTTATTATCACTTTGAAATGGAGGGTTCCATCATACCTGCAGTGTTCCATAATACCACCTTTTCCTCTATATATATAAATTAAATTTTTGAGTGTTCTTATCATTAATAAGCACTAAAAATAATTTTTTTTATGAATAATTAATTTAGAATCGCAATTGTTAAAGTGTGTCTTTGTGAAAGAAATAAGTGACAACAATCAGACAGTAATAGCTCTTAGAACTTTTAAGTTATTCATAAAATATTGGGTGTTCTTATCTTTATTGAACGCACTGTAGTAGAAACTTTCCACCTTTTCCTGTTTTTTTCAAAATCTTCCTTCAAGGTGACTTTCTGATCTAGCTTGATCCTCTCTAATCTAATTTCATCATCTCTTCCCTTGTTCTACTAACCATAATTTTCTGTTTATGATGTTTTCTCTTTATTCTTTCCAAGCGATTTTTCTCGTTCTATCATCAGACTGATTACTTTTAAGCTGTTCATTCCTTATTCAAACCTTTCTACTTAACTTTTCATTTCTATTGCTTGTATTCTAGTTACGTTTCTGTTTGTCCTCAAATCTCTAATCCATATGTTAATATTGTGATGAAGTACGACTTATCTACTTTAACAATAACTTTAAAAATATTTATTGTATAAATCTCACCGACTGAAACATCATTTTGTATTTTCGTATTTGTCTTCTATTCTATTGTTTATTATTTGCTAAATAAAAGTTTGAAATTTAAGAACAGTAAGAAATTTCGAAGATTTTTCTTTTTTTTTTTTCTCTCAGTTTTCTGAAGGATTTTGCTCTTGGGATTAACGTTAAACTCTATTCCGAAAATGAAACTTTTTTCATTATTATCGATAAATTAAATTAAATAGTTGACGAAATTTTGGTAATATTTTTATTCAAAGCATAAAATTTGCTTTTAGTTGTAATTCCAATAGCTTTTAATAATATTTATTTTATGTTTAATGTTATGTTTGACATATATGAAAATGGATTTGTAGAACACTTCTCGAGTTTTGTGATTTATATTAAGTGATTTTTTTATTTTATGCCATAAACTATTACAAATTTCTATAATACATTTGGCCATACTCATTCTGGCAACATTTTAGAATATGTATAATTAATAATTAAAACTATAGTGAGAATGCTTTAATAATGAATGGATTTTTTTGCAATTACTTCCTTAAAAGTCCCACGTTTATGTGTTTTTAGTAAATTAATCTACATGTAAATAAATTTTTCTTCAATTTGCATTAGTTAAATATATAAAAGTTCAAAAAATTAGTAATTCATTTTTATATTCCAGACTTAAGGCATCAAAGTACACAAAGACATAAAATCTGTAATAAAGATTATTTTTGCTGTTGTAATTTGCTATTTTTTCAAATACAAAATAAAATTTTCTTAAATAAATTTATTTAAACAATAATATAAACAGTTTTGTTGAAGATAAAAAATTTATATAGAGCGCAATTACGAAAAACGAATTTAATCAAAATTTATGCCTATTTGACAATTCTCATAACAAATAATCCACGAGAACTGCTGGAATACATATAATAAATATAAAAAGTATTTTAAAAAATGCTAGAATACAGTTTTCTATTTTCTTCATTGTTTTTATCTCAATCAATTGATTCATTTCCTTTACAAATGAAAGCAGAAAAATATAAAAGATGCGAAGATAATTCCATTAAAACTTCAAATTTAACAGTCTACAATATTAAAAAATGTTAGCTTCTTATTCGATATTTAAAAAAATTCACAAGAAAAAAACATGAAATTTTTTTTAAAATCTTATAAACAATGGCATGAGATTGCCATTTATCTTCAGACTTTTAAGAAACTTAAAAGAAAAGTTAATATTTGTAATAAACAATTTCATTCTTTCTCTTATTTTACTATTGCTATTTTTTAAAAGTTAAAAACTTTTTGCACATTTTAAAAAATGTGTATAATAAATAATCTTCGAACATTTAAAAATCTTGTTTATTTTAAATATATTGCGGTATATAAAATTAAATCTATTATTTTTATAAGCGTAAATATTCGTATTTAAATTATTTTTTCGTGAGTTGTATCGATGGGTTGTTTTAATAAACAGCATAAAATTTATAAAAATTATAAACTTATGCAAAAATAAATTTTTTTAAGGAAAACAAAACTTTATTCTTTATTAAAAAACTAAAAAAATTGTTAATAAATTTCTTCAACTTAAATATTTAATATCTAAATATTAAAAATTTAAGTTGTAATGTTT